TCCCGCCAGTCTCCATCCCAACCCCATCTTTCCCGACCCTACCCGCGGACAAACCCCGAAAAGAGAGAGAGAGAGAGAGAGAGAGAGAGAGAGAGAGAGAGAGAGAGAGAGAGAGAGAGAGAGAGAGTGACCTGCTTCTTGGGCGACGGCGGCACCTGGCTGGTACGGCGGCGTGGGCTGGACGATGGCGGCCGCTTGATGGCTCTTGGACGCTGGCGGTGGCTTCGTGTTTCGTCGGCGATGGCAGAGGAGATGCGACGGGCAGCAGGCGGCGGGTTCCAAACGCGCCCTCTAGACTCGAGAAACGGCCAGCTTGAAGTTCGAACTTCGAAAATGCTGGCCCTGCCTCCCGCCACCCCACCTGGCTCTGCACAGTCTGTGGCGGGTCCGGCCTTCGACCTGTGTCCGGTAGGCCAAAAAAAAAACGAAAAATCGGCCCAGCATTTTTCAGGGGCCGACGAGGACCCGAAAAACGTCCTCCGAGGCCCCTTTTTTTTTTTCGAATTTTCGTTGGGGGGGGCCGTTCCGGACGTCCAGGACCGGACACCGGACCCCTGCAAAATGTTTGCTGTTGTCTGGAAACCGGTCCGGACGTCCGGTCGGTTACCATGAGATGATTGGACATAATTTCTTTTTGTCAAATTATTAAAATGAAAGATAACTCTTCTAAGTGGAATGTTGTCAGCCCTTTTTAATGTTCTCACTGACAGACCTGTATCTGTTTTTTGAAACCTTTTTTTTTTTTTTTTTTTTGGCCTTTGTTTTCTATGATGTGTCTGTTTGAAATTGGAATCATTGCAGATAGCTGCTGTGGTCCCCTCCATTGCAGTCATTATATTTGCCCCGGCAAAGCTAGGTTTACCTGGGGTCTGGATGGGTTTGACAATGCTCATGAGTCTGCGCATGCTGTCCGGATTCACGAGGTGGGTTGCAATCACTCTTCCATGATACTCTTCCATGCAAAATACAGCCAAATAAAAGCAATAGCTGACAATGAAGTCAAATGTTGGCGTCGACACAATCTCGCCACATCAAAACAGTATCCAATGTCGCTCTTCCTGATTGGCGCTCAGCGCCCTGCCTACCCTACTCAGCCTACTCTAGCCTACACTGCGTTCATGCAACAGGATTCACTCCAAGGCTGAAGACCAATGTACATGACGACGTCGCTCATGCAGACTGCCAGCATACACCAGGTACATATCTCTCCGTCGCTCATGCAGACTGCCAACATACACCAGGTACATATCTCTCTCCTCTTACCTCACCTCGACTTCCCACACTGTGCATCCCCGACACCCGAAGACCACCATCGCCGACACACCCCCTGCGACTAGCAGCCCGGCTATGGCCACCTAGTGCCCGCTGCCGTAGCAGCGCCCGTGCGCGCCTGAGCAGAGCGCGAGCTCTGCGCTGCAGCAGCGTGGCCGTGTGCGCTTGCCAGCCAGAATGTGTCCCCTGGCTGGACTGTTCACTTTCCTATATGGAAAGTGAGCCCTGTTTGTCGTGGCCTGGGCCTGACTCGGCGAGTTTCCAGTAGCTTCCGATCGGCCCAAAGTGTCTGCACCCAGGCTCACTCAGACAGTTGACTGGGCCTGCAGCTTCAAGCAGCGCCCAACTACCCACACGGTCTGTAACGTGTTTCCCGCTTTCTGATAGGCCGAGAGGCCTGCTTCGACATCGAAGCTTTCCAGAAGCCTGGAAGCTTCTTTGAAGATTCGGATTCTCACGAGCTGGGCCTCTGTAACCAACTGGCGCGTGTAAACTGTCTGGCGGCCAACCACAGGCAATTTGCAAATTTGGCAGATTCAGGTCCCCCGATGATATTAAGGCCCGCCTTCAGCTAGGGCGGGCACATTGCTTTCTGGGGGCCCCTTGGGCACTCTGAGGTGGCCGTGGAGCGGCCAATGTGGGGGCACATTCCTCGCATTTTCAAACAAATGGATCGAGTTTTTTTTTTTTTTTTTTTTTTGAAAAAGCAGGCTGCCTTCTCCTCGTATGGGGGCACAGCTGCATTTTTCTACGCAATTTTCTTCTCTCAATATTTTTCCATCTCCCAGTACCTACTTCAGGCTGTGTACTCGAACTGGTCTACTCACCTTCCGCACCTGAAAGGGGCATGGCAACTCAACCAGCAAGGAACCCAGCTCCATGTTCAACTACAGGGAACTTCAATTCACCAGTCAACGCCAAGCTATCCTATGGTTATGGGTCTATGCCTACCTATCTCAGCTCTGTGTGGGGAGTACCCAAGCTCCTAACACCCGGCACGAGCTTGAAAGAACCAATTACTTCCTCTCAAGCCAACAGTCTCCAGTAGTAAACCCGAAGCATACCCCCAGCAGGTCGCGGGGATAGGAAGGACGGCGTTGGGTATCGAACCCACAACCTCCTGAGTGCCACTTACGTGTAACCCGAAAACAGGTACGCACCTTGTATACGAATACAAGGTACGGGGTACCTTGTATTTGAAAACAAGGTAGAACAAATTTTAGGGTGCAACTTCCCTAAGCCAAGGGGAAAAAGAAAAAAAAAATGTATAGTGCATATTAGTAATAATATCAGGAATAGGACGGGGCTGCAGCGTGAAGTGTTTTTTTTTTTTTTTTTTTAAACACATTGACTGTGCTGCATGCTCACGATCTGGCATGCATTCTAACGCTACGTGTGTTTGAGTGTGTGTGTGTGTGTGTGTGTGTGTGTGAGAGAGGGAGAGAGAGCATAGGCCCCGTGTGTGGAAGCAGGTGTGTGCGTGGACAGCACACACCACACACACACACACACAGAGGGAGAGAGAGAGAGAGAGAGAGAGAGAGAGAGAGAGAGAGTTACATGACAGTTACAAGGCACACCTCAAATACAAGGTACGTACCTTGTATTCAAGGGTACCTTCTATTCAAAAATTTAAACCACCAGTACCCCTACCAGCTACAAAAAAAAGTCGTAGCTGTTAATGTGCCACGACTTTAAGAGGTCGGACAAACGGACGCCTGGTCGGTGAAATATGTTGGGGGAAAAAAAAAAAAAAAAAAAAAAAAAAAAAAAAAAAAGGTCGAAATCCGAAAAGAAAACAGAAGTGAGCGCTCTATGGAGAGAGAGGGAGATGCAATCAGACTAGACTTATTCACACTTCTCATGCATGTGAACAGCAAAACAACAAACTGGCGCCATGCGCCCACACAGAACTCAGAGATATGGCTCCCAAGTAACAGTTCGCTTCCACAGGCTATGGCGACTGTGCGCCTCAAACAACTCACTGTTCACACTCTGGATCACCCTGGATATCCCACATGCGAGACTCAGCACACACACACAGTACACACACACTTCCCCTAAGCTACAGCTATGGCGGCTATGGCCGCCGCTACCCTACTGCTATGGCTACGGTATGTCACTCTCGCCCACTTCGTCTTCGGGCCTCCTGCAGACCTCCTCGCACAAGCTGCTGAGGCAGCGCTTCTGCATGGCTTCCGCAGGAATGAATGAAAGGCTGGGCGCAGCCTCTTGATTTATACGTCTGTGCTGCGTTGGTCTGCCCTGTACCCCTGGCCCATCGTGCACACAGTCCCAGATGGTACTTGCTGGACTGGACCGGACTGGGTGGACTGGGACTGCTGACTGTACTAGGTGGACTACCACCACTTGACCACTTGCCTCTGTTTAACGCAGGCTCACTCCGAAAGGCCACTTCTAGAAACCTCTAACTTGGCCTTTCCGTACTGTGGCAGCTACGACTTCGCCCTTTCAGGTAAGTAGCAGCTACGACCTTGACCCTTCAGGCAGCCTACAGCTACGACCTCTGAACTGTCTAGGCTCCTACCCTACAGGTCTACAGTTCGAATCCACTCTACCCTGTGACCTACGAAAACCTACCTACCACGAGCGGTCCTACAGGTAGCGGGTTCAAATCTACGGGTTGACACCGGTACTGTACACAGGTAAGATGGGGAACTAGGGATCGAGCCCTGGGATCTGCATCAGCTACTGCGAGCTGAGCCTGGTGAATACCGTTTCAGAGAGAGAGAGAGAGAGAGAGAGAGAGAGAGAGAGAGAGAGAGAGGGAGAGAGAGCACCATGGCGAGTTTGCCGCAGGCCCGCGTGCATTTCGACGGATCTCTCTCCCCTCCCCTCCCCTCTCTCTCTCTCTCTCTCTCTCTCTCTCTCTCTCTCTCTCTCTCTCTCTTGCGCGCGCACACTGTCTACCCGCGCGGAGTTTCGTCGAAAGTGAGAATGAATCTTTCACATTGTTTGTGAAAGATTCATTCTCACTCTCCAAGAAACTCCGTGCGGGCCGACAGAGCGCGCACTATGGAGAGAGAGAGAGAGAGAGAGAGAGAGAGAGAGAGAGAGAGAGAGAGACGCCGAAATGCACGGGGGCCCGTGGTGAACTCGCCGTGGTGCTCTCTCTCTCTCTCTCTCTCTCTCTCTCTTCGCCCCCCGTGCGCGATATTGAAATGGCTCCTTTATTTTTCTTTTTTTTTTGTTTGTATTTACTTTCCATAATGATTTTTTTTTTTTATCTTCTTTTTTTTTCTTTTTCACTTGGCCTACCTGTCAGCTGAGCCACGGGCCTTGACAACCGGTAGGTACTGGTGGTTTAACAGCGATTTCTAAGAACCTGTTTTCCGGAGGTAACTTGAGTACAAGGTACGTACGTTGTTTTCGGGTGAAGACGGTAGTCCACTCGGGATCGAGTTTTCAATGGCTCACTAACCATACTTTCTTTGAGTTCTCTAACCTATTTGGCGGTGTTTCACTAGATCAAGTGACCAGTTTCCCCGTGGACGTCCAGGCAGGCAACCTCAGGGCACGGAGCGAAGCCGAAGACCTGACTTGCACTGCAAAAAAAAGTCTCTGTTTTTCGCCTTGAGACATGGGAGCCTCTATGCTTGCAAGTTTCACCAGCACTTTTTCATGACCAGGTGCTTTGAACTCTTGACCGGGGAACCAACTCCTCGAGTAAGTGCTTCATTTTTTTCAAGGCAAGTCTTCGGGCTTACTAAATAGAATTTGGACCTGACGGTAGCCTGGGAGCGCCTTTTCCACTCACTGATTTTTCCCAAGGTTAAGCCTTTCTTCGAGATGCGAAGGCCACTGTGGCCTATGTTCGGCAGACGACCGGTTGTTTTACGCCAGATATGCAGATCATTTTGTTCAATTGCTCACTGGGACGAAGAAGGCCGTAGCAGGCACCAAGTGCTTAGCCTAGACAAGACACAGCGTTCTGTAGCCTTTTTCCAGATATCTGCATTCTGCTGGGCACAGTGCAAGGTCAGGAAGTCAATTATTCTCTCTCTATCTCTCTCTCTCTCTCTCTCTCTCTGTGATGATATATATATATATATATACAGCCTCCTGATGAGTCGGTGAAACTCCGACGAAACAGTTTGTCACAGCCCCTCGTTTGTTGTCCTCTTCTCTCTCTCTGCCT